GCACGCACGCACTCAACCCTCCCGCAACAGACTCGCGTCTGGTGGGCGGCACGCCGACAAATGGCCCTCGCCTCCCACGTTTCCTTCGACTTGGCACTACCCACCCGCCGGCCTGTATGCACATTGACTCCTTGGTCCGTGCTTCGAGACGGGCAAGGCTGAGGAATTCCACCAGCATCCCGTACGCGCAGGAACCCGAACAGGCCCGCGGAAAGAGGCGCACACTCAAGGTCCTCGGCCGCCGCGCCGGCCACTAACCGTGACGTAGCGTCCAAGTCAAGGAGTGCCTGACGCATAAAAATAAAAATTATGACAATAATAAAATAGTTTAATGATTTTCTAATCGTTAGGATATGCTAGCAACATTCCGACACCTCCAATGGTAGACCAATGAGGATAGCCCCGCGTCGCCGCCGCCAACCGCTTGGTCTTCTCCGCGTTACTCTGATATCCGCGAGTTGCCCCCGCTCGATCTCGATCCGTGAACCTCTTTGATGAACATCCGCCACTGCAACTGCTAGCGCTAGGCCCAAACTGGGTCTAGCTCTAACGGACACCTAAATCAAACCTATCCTACGCAACGCGTAGACCTACCACAAATACTTCGAAGCCTTCTCGTTGTCGATGTCGTCCTCCCCACGTACGCATAGGTAACAGGTAAGCACACTAATCAATGGACGTAATCTTTTTAATCCTAGCTTAATCAGAAAATAAGTAACCAGCAGAAAAAGGCTCCGGCCAGTGATCACGCCAACCCTTCAGTCATAAAAAAAATAAAAAAAATAAAAAAATATCACACGCGCCTTAAACTCGCTCGCGCACTCACTCTCTGCTTCTAGACATTCTAGTCAAACTTTCAGCCGATAGACTGCTACAACTCACGCAGTCTACTCAAAAATTCCAACTCAAACTTAATTTTTGTCACTTGCAAAACCCAGGGCGGATACCCTTGTAAGGGTATTCGCGCCGACAGCGGCTATTCCGTTGGTGGGGAGTTGCACCTATTGGAAACCGGGTCCAGCGTCCCTTGACATCTTAACACTTAAACGACAAGGTTCAGCTCGTGCTGGGAACGGGGCCCAACGTTGTGACGAACTACTGTCTGAAAGGCGCCATCTTCTGCGTAACCGGGATTGGTGGTACACAGAGCGATCGGGGATAAATTGCATGGCGGTCCTTCTTTCTTGATTTTTCGAAGTTTTCTCCTTGGTCCTTCGGGAAGAGACGGTGGCGGTTATGGACCTTGGGACAATGGGCCCGCGCCTTAGCAAGCGCGGAAGGGGAAAAACTTCTGCTACGGTTTTTTTCGCTTTTCTCTTCTTTTTCTTTTGTTTTCAAATAAGGCGTCCGACTTTTTGGCGCAATAATCACGCGGGTAATTCTTCGGAATTTTTGAATTTGGAATGAGCCTATGCGGGCTTTCAAAATTTCTTTTCGTAATTAGGACTTTAATTAGAGTAGGAAATTGGGTACGTTGGAATTTTTGCCCGTAACTGCACATTGCCTCTTACTTGCGCACGCGCTCTGCTGCACAGGGACCTGCCCTCTGTTCCCGCCATGCCCAGATTCTAATCTCAACTGTAATCTCTTCTTGTTCCTTCCCCGCTATGCAGGTGTAACCGTAATCTTTCCCGTTCTTGAAATTCCCTCACTGCATGCGTACTTCACGTCCTATCTCATGAGCCGGATCGTTGCATGGTTGGATCGAAGCGTGGAGTGAGGCTACGTCCCCCACGCCGCATCCCAGTCATGCACTCTTAGGCACTTCCTTCTCTCTTCTTTCATTTTCCTCTGGCAATCCCGACTATCGCGCGCTGATTAGCAAGCTATAAATTCTGCAAGTGCGATTAATTCTCTCTCTAACCTACTTGGGAGTTAGCGAGGTCGAGAGGATTGGCTAACGAGCAGAAAGACGGTGAGTAGAGAGTTGGGCGATCTTTCGAGTTGGTGCTGAGTGTGCGGGGTTGACGCGTGGCCGCGAGGGACTGTGGCACGTGGGCGAACCTGGCTTGCATGCTCAGGCTAAGCAGGGTGACGACTCTATGAGGTCTGTGGGATGCGTGGCGACGGACTGCCCGCATCGAGAGAGAAAGAGAGAGAGATACGAGGGATATGGTGGAACCGTGTGTCCTTTCCTCCCTCCTTTCTATATAAATTTTGATTCCAACGTTGGCCAATTTTGTTGCGGCATTTTTTTGGATTTCCAGTGTGAATCTTCTCAGATCTCTTTGTTGGAATGCATGTATGTATGTATGGTGACGAAAGATCTCGCATCCTTTCTCGCAATTTGTCTTTGCTTTTTCATTTTGTTGTGATCAGTAGATTGGTGTGGTTTTAACTTCGTTGTTTTTTCGGCATTTCGACATCACAGCGCATGTATCGATTTATGAGTCGGAATTCTCGCAAATCGCGTTGGTGCGCTCACCATTAGCCCAATCACTTGTGTTCGAGTAAGAATTACGGGAGTTGCTGGGAATATATGTCTGTTCTTCGAATGTTTGATGCCCTCTTTCCTCTGATGCATGCGAGTATAACCAGGGAGGGGCTGTTCTGGGAACGGGGTTACATGCCCAATCAGACCAAGCGTCAATAGATTATTCCGCCATCAGGATGCGTAGCTTAGGACTTAACTAGTTGGCCAGTGCGTACGCGCGGGGAAGACAGCAATCCGTCAACGGATTCGCTATCTACACGCACGCATGCAGGGGCTGGTTACGATCCAGCCACGTAGGAACGATGTGGGTGAGTGAATCCTGTTGATCCGGATATGGCGGTCGAAACTCCTTTTTGGATCATCGACCGTGAAAGTCTGAGAGATCCCGAGTATAGGACACATTGGGAAAGGGAACAAATCTGACGACAACAAGTCCGACAGCAACGGATCAGACGACAGCAAAACTTGCGGAACCTTGATTACCCCTGCCAAACCGAACGCGAGCGACTGTGTAGGGGTGATTTCCAGTTGGCAATCAACCTGGACTCCCGAATTCCCGAGTATCCCGACAGGAGACTCGAGCAATGCTTTATCACCCCAGGCTTCGTCGCTATCACGATTCACGACCAATTTCCCTTCCCATTACATCGTTCTTCCGTATCACCGACTGCTAGTTACCCCCTGGGACTCCATATCCCAATTCTGGCCCCGGCCTATGTGCCCAGAGTGCCAACAGCCCAACGAGTGCGAACCGACGAAGGCCACGCGTCAGACTCCTCCCCAGAGAGAACGACGAGAACCCAGCCTCCTCATCAGACTCAGACTCTTAGTTCTGCGTCGGACGACTGAGGTATGAGCATTCCCACAGCGACGCGCTCAACACCCCGTTCATGCACCCGGCTCTTCCCCGGTCCCGGCCGTGGGAACGGCCCCCACCCCAACTCTGAGCTAGAGGAACCAATTGCACTTCTACCCCTGAAACTTGACACAAGAGATTCCAGTTCCAACCTGGAACTCCACCCCCACTTTCCAAAAATCCTTGGCACACCCCTCTTCGCGCTTCCAGGCCCACTAACACTCCGAAAACAGGAAGCCGCGTTGGGCGTGAGGTTGGTATCGGAGCCGACACGTGTCAAGCCCAGGGATTGACAAGTTGCTCGGCTCTCTAGTTCAACCGATCTAGCGACCCCAAAACAGGGACGGTCTGCGCAAAGGAACGAGTCGGCACGCGAACCTGTAGTGACAAGGAGCAGGTCTGTGGGCAGATCGGTAGACGACATGAATGCTAATCAGGCAAACGCCAATCAGGCCCCAGCCAATCAAGCACAAGGCGGGGCAGGGGGCGGCCCGGGGCTTGCGCCTCATCCCGTGCCCCAGCCTGCACGTGCCCGCACTCCAGCAACCCCGCCAGATCTGTATTTGTTCGATCCAGCGCATCACCTGGCAGGAGCTTGGCTTGCCACGCTCTGAGCGCAACAATACGATAATGATTAAGCCAGGATTAACATCCCAGCCCGATTAGGAGGCGACGCCCATCACTGGCTTAGCACCGACATATGGACTGACCTTCCTACCTTCGAGAGGGACTTCTTACACCGATTTGACTACATACATCCAGAGCAAGCATTCTTTATGATCAAAGACAGAGTGCAGAAGCCCCTCGAGTCTATTGCGGAATACCATAGTCGGTTTTACCGACTGTTTGTAAAATCTCCGAGAGACGAGAAGGTAGGAAGATAATTTTTTATAGATGGACTTCGAAGAAGAGCTATACGAGCTAAGATACGAAAACAGTTCTCCCCCATCACCTTCACCTTGACGCAAATCATGGACGCAGCAGAAGAGATGAAGCGAAAGTTCGCTGCTAGCTTCCTCGAGGGGGAAGATCGCGCTAAAGAAGGTGACTCTACGAAACTGACCCGCGCAAGGATGGAACTAGCCGCCCTGCAACATAAGTTCGAAAATATGGGCTTCGTGTCAGACCCTGTTACCTATCTGGAACAGGTGGCAGCCTTGCGGCTCGGTAGTACCGAATACAGTAGGAACCATGGTAGAAGAAACGGACATGGTAGTACCGAATACAGGGGTAGTCGAGGAAGTCGCAGAGCTCATCCCACTGGATCAATTCCTCTCCTTGGGATATCCGGGGCTCGGGATGATAGGGGCAATCCAGCCCGCGGACGATGAGCGCGAGATCTCGGAATGGCGACCATCCCCTGGGGAGATGGAATCCGGCGGTCCTGAGTTCGTCACTGGAAAGATCGATGTTCTGGACATCGTCTGAGCCTTAGACCACCGCATTCCGCTTCCGATCGGCCACCTGTTGTCCATATCGGAACAGGCCAATGATCGCATGCTCCAGCATTGCAAGGCCAATCGAAAACGATTCGCACTTGCCAAGCTGGCAACGGCCAGGGGAAAGGCTCCCGTAAAAGAGACAAAGTCGGATGCACCCGGACCCTCAGAGCCTGTACGCCTGGGACTTCTCCAGAAAAGCGACCATTTTCTGCGCGTCAAAACCATCCCGTGGAAGTCCACGGAGTGTAACGTGGAGATCTGGGGAGTCCCATACAGCGCGATCCTTGATTCCGGGGCAGCGGTGTTGGCAATATCTTTGCAAGTAGTGGAACGGGCCGGAAGAAGGAAGGATTTGATCCCACTCAACGAAGGAGACCGTTTGATCTCCGCCGATGAGGAGAGGATCAGAGCAGTAGGAAAAATGACAAACGTCGCCTTTAAGTTGGGAAAAGTTCACGCCTTGGGAGACGTGGTGGTTCTCAATGTGAACTCGTACGACGTACTCATCGGACTGCCTGCGTTAGACGCCCTCCAGGCCAATCTACACTTTGAGCGGCGGGAGGTGGTTATCAAGAATACCGGGGTTAAGCCGTATGCAGTCCCCATGCGCCTCACCCTCCGCACGACTACCAACCCGCCACGTAGATCTCACCCAGAGGTAGGCGGGCCGATTCAGACAGTCACCTGGGACGGACTCCTAGAGGACTCAGAGACTAGCAACGAAGAACACGCGTCCCCGCTCCTCGAGGATTCGGAAAGCGAGGATGAGATAGACCCGGTGGTTCAAGAGTTGACACGAAGGATAATTCGTTACCCAGTCCAGCAGAAAACGACGAAAACGTTCGTGTGGACCGAAGAGAATGTCCAACGAACGCGAGCTCTGATCATAGGAGAACCCCTGGTACAGGTGTCCAGGATTCCCAACTCTTCGGAACCCACGCGGACCCTGTACGAGGACGCTACTCCCTTGCTTCCCCGATACGTAGATAAGCGGTCCTTCTGCGACGTCACGGAACCCCCTCCCCGATCGCTTCTTACCACAGACAAGGAGATACGATTGTTGCGTCTAGGAGCGGAAGTACAGGCTCCGGAACCTCCTGGGTGCCCCGAAGCCTCGATGTTTGATGTCGGGATAAGAATCGCTGAGAAATCGGTGGATCCCTGGGATATCGAGGATGGAATAACCCCCGAAGAACACGTGGCCATCCGAGAGGAAGAAGCCCTGATGGTAGCCACCGTGTTCTCGTGGCGGTCGGACAACTCTTTCATCTCTTCCCCGCCGCCCCGGGACTCTAAGGCAGTACGTACCAAACACGTTACAGTCGATATACACGGGCGGCCTTACGAGTTGCACGTGCCAGAATACCTGCCCGACGGAACCCACCAACTTATTGCAGAGATCGTACAGGAATATCGGGGTGCTATCAGCATTGATGACGCAAACATTGGGTTATCCTTAATAATCCAACACGAGATTCAGACCGGCAATCACCCGCTGATTCATTGCAAACCATATCGATACTCATTGGCAGAACGAAAGGCGGCACTCGAGCGAATCCAGGAATTCGAGGCTAATGGTTGGATAGAGCCCGATATCGGTCCTTGGTCCTTTCAAGTAGTTTTGGTTCCGAAAAAGAACGGATCAGTTCGCATTTGCATTGATTATCGGAAATTGAATGACATCACGATCAAGGATGTGTACCCCCTCCCTCGAATTGATGATCTACTGGATGCGATTGGCTGTGCGAATTATTTCAGTAAATTTGATATTCGGCACGGGTTCCACCATATGCTTGTGAGGGAAGAAGATCGACCGAAGACGACGTTTGTCTTGTTTGAGGGCACGTGGCAGTGGGTTCAATGCCCTATGGGTATATGCAATGCGCCGGCAACTTTCCAGCGGGCAATGAATGTCACTTTCCAGAACTTCGTGAACAAGACCAAGTTAACTCAGGGCGTGATCAATTTTTGCGTTATCGTGTACATGGACGATATTTTGGTATATTCTGAATCATTCCATGGACACGCGCAGCATATTGAATGGACACTTGGCTCGCTACGGGATGCCGGTTTCAAGATTGCGTTGGAGAAAAGCGAATTCTTCCTGTCCGAGATCTCGTTCCTGGGATACGTGGCAACCCGAGGAGGCTTGAGACCGGATTCGAGGAAGGTCGAGGCTGTTCGGGAAGCACCCACGCCCACGTCATTGACGTAGGCTCGAGCCTTCCGGGGACTGGCCTCATTCTATCGACGGTTTATCAAGGGATTTGCGGCAATCGCTCGACCCCTGACGAACCTCCTGCGGAAGGACCAGCCGCTGAGCTGGGACGCGGAGTGTGAGCAGGCCTTTTGCACTTTGAAGGAGGCCCTGACCTCGACCCCTATTTTAATCCGGCCCGATCCCGAGCGCCAGTTCCTACTCATTACTGACTGGCAGCCCGAGGCTATCTCCGCAATCCTAACTCAGAAGGGGAAAGACGGGCGGGAGCACGTGGTCGAATGTGCTTCGAGGAC